CTCCCTGCTTGCATCTCTCTCCTCCTCCAGTATCCTCAGCTAAAAGCCCTTCCCTGAGCATGTGGAGAGGAAAGATATATTTTTCCCTTTGCAGCAGTGAACTGTTTCTGAGGTGCTGAATTCTTCCTTCTGCCTCAAATTTCCTGTGTGGCCTGTAGTACAGTAGTTAATTATTTCACAGTTAGTTTTCCAGCTGTACTGTTTTCCTTACTTCTGACAAAAGTTATAGAAATAGATTCTGTAGTACATGCAAAGCATCATGCTAGTGTGATAAATTGTGGGGATTGGCCTGGCTGCTCTCAGCAAGGCTCCAGCATGTCTCAGCTGGTCAGGGGAGATGTGTTGGGACTTGTGTGGCCAAAAGCTGTGGGAGGAGTAGGAGTGGAGATGGGAAGGTTAAACAGAAAGTGCCTGTGTGCTGGCTCACCAGGCACGAGTTGGGATGTTGCTGGGGTAGAAAACATGTAACTGATTGTTGTGCTTTAGGTTAACCAGTTAATGCACACCTAATGTATAGAATAAGCCAATGGGCAGAGAACATGCTAAGCCAAGAAAACTATTAAGTACCTGTGGATAACTACAATAGGACAACATCTTGCTTGCATCAAGCTGCGTCCCCTCTCTCCTTTGCAACAATTACTGGGATTAGGGTGGGGCAGGTTTTGTAAATCTTGACAGGTAGTAAATTCATTTTTTTTGCAAATTAGGCTTTTTTAAATGAAATTCTAGGCTCCTGTAATTTTTGGACATTGGTACAATTTTTTTTTGGTTAGGAATTTGTTGGGCTGTGAATCATTTTGCCTGCTCTGACCTTCCTTTGGAGGCTTCTATTTCTGACCTCACAAACAATGCCTTAGGTGAGACATGACAAGCTGATAGACTGTGATGATGTCTTTGCAGTTGCCCATTGCTCTGGATGTGATGTGGATGTGTGTGTTCATGTCCTAGAGTTTATCAAAAACTTTGTTTATGAATCGTACTTAGAGGCAGATATTTGGTTTTGACATTTATTTTAAAATGGCTCTGCAGACTGAAGAGGAAACATGGATATTGGGCCTGAGATAAAAATGGTTAAAGCAGGGCTGTCTTGGTATGATGCATTTGTTGGTTTTGGAGACTATTTATTTCCATTAACTACAGCCACAAGCATGCATATGGGAAGATGGTTTACTTTTTGTATCATCACCTTTGCAAAGATTTGAGAAATTAAACTTCTCAGGGGCATTAACCTCCAGTAAGCTGTATTGACCCAGTGAGTGTTCACAGAAAGGCATGTTCTTACTACTTCATAGCATTCTACATACGTGGGAAAAAAAGAGAAAAAAATACTTAAAAAAATTAGATTTACCTTGAGGAACAATACTGGCACTTTGTTTTGTGAAGACAAGAGGGAAACCCAGGAGACATTGGCTCTGGTCATGCTGCAGCTGTATCACTGACAGCCATAATCATACACTTGATTGGCAAAGCAGGACTATTAATCTCCAAGTATTTCACCTTTGGTCAATAGAGAAGTGATTTTTTGAAATCAGATAAGAATGTTTTCTTCCATTGCTTTTTGTTTGTAGCTGGTATCTCAAAATGGTCATTTGACTGGAACCACCATGCATACAACCAGTCTTTGTATACAGCTGGCTTGTATCTCCAGTGGAGCTACTGCTGCAGACACACTTGACAGTCTTTAGCACTGTTACTTCACTGGATTTTTATTTAAAGGAAAGGAAATGTCACATAGGGTTTGCCTTAATGTAGCTAGTTACAGCGAGTACATATGTAGTAGGTGTAAAACTTCCTAGCTCTAGAGAGGTGTGTCTGTGAGTCTAAGTGACAGGAACAATGCCTCTGTTAAAGTGAATGACTTATCATGCCAGCAGGACAACACTTTTCAATGGGGTTATGACTACAGATCAGCAATAGCTTCAAACTAGGATCCTGATCCTGCAAGCATCCTTGTGGCTAAGGGCATCCCTGCTAGAGACACCCTAACGTGCATAAAGGCTTATAGGGTCAGTGCCTCCAGTTTGCCATGGCTCTACCTCATAGAAAGTAAGAAGAACTTGTCTCTTGGCTGATTTTTATGAAATAATAAAAACTTCTAGCATCTTGTGGCTTTTAGTGCCCACTGACTTACGAGCCATTTGGCATTAGTACATAGGCACCTTTAAATTGTAACCACAAGTCACATTCAATAATCCAACTTCCTTTAGATTTGTAAGCTACCTGTATTCAAATTTTTTTTAACATAGCAATCAATTGAGAAGTCCTTCTAATGTATTTTTGAAACTATAAAATGAAATTCTCCAAAGGCCTGCAAAGCTTAATAAAAAATTATGAGATCAAAAATATTATTAAGTGAATAAAATACATTGAATGTAAAAAAACCAGCAGACAAACTTTGGATGCTGCAAGTGAAATTGTCATGGCTGATGTCATGATGCAGTACATTCTGCACAGCTTGCTAATGACTATGTCATTAAGTTTAACATGTTATTGAAACTTAAGAATTCAGAAAGCCATAATGAAATATGGGCTACATTCTCTCCCAGTAAAAATTTTGTCTGCCTAAAGGCAGTGTATGTCCAGGATCAGAGCAAACTAACCGCTGTGCAAATAAAGATGGTGCAATGTGATTCCATTAAAATAATGGCAGTGTTCCAAGAAAATTTCTAGATTACCTTAAAAGAGATGAAGATGGGATGCAGTATTTCTTCAAATCATGTCCCACACCTCTCAATGCTAATGAACTCCCACAGCACTCAGCAATTAAACAGGAGAAAACCCAAGTTTAGGAAACAGTTTTATTAGACAAATTATTTAGACAAATTATACACAGAAAGCTCTGCCACTTGTAACTGAGGCCTCCAAAAAGTGTTTTGTGTATCTGTATAATAGGCAACACATCAAAATAGGCCTATTTTAAATATCGTACATGGTTAACAGGTTTTTTAATAGCTAAAATCACTGCAACATCTGGTATGTCCCTATGTAGCTTGTTGGAAATATTTTTTTGCTTTTTTTCTTTTCTTTTACTCAGAAGTGTGAATGAGTTCATGAATGTTACAAGGGGAAGCAAGTTGTGCATGCTTTTAGACACTTGCTACCCTAGAAACAAAATGGCCTTTTGCACGATAAGAATTTGTTCTGCCTTACACAGTAGACAATATTTGAAGATTTAGTACAAAAAACAGTGACAGTACAAGATGCTCCCCCAGAACAGAATTAGCATCAAAATAGAATAGATTTTAAGAATATATCTTTTAATTTATCCTAAAGCAAATCACATAGGCTGATTCCTATTAATCCTAGCCAAAGAATGAGTTAGATTAAAATAAGTATATGGTTGCATAAAAAAGAAAACCAAACCAAAAATCTCACAGGATAAACTGCTTGCTTTCTACTTAACCGCATTTTTAGTTTTAAGGATTACAAATTGAAAGCTCTTCCTACGTCTCTAACAGGTAACAGTGTTACTTTAAAAAGCTGGTGCCAAAGTGGGCACTGGTTTTTCTCTCACTGCTGTTCTTTTTCTTGTTCTATACAGTTGGCACTAATGTAAAAAATACATAGCTCCTCTAAATCTAACTTAACATAGAAAGGGTTAAAATAAGCGCCCATTCATTTTTTTTTTTCCTTAGAACAATATGTGATTATAATTAAGGCCACATCTGTATATCTCAAGGGCTTTTTTTTTTTCCCCTCCACTAACACCATTATTGTATTGATCAACTGTACTGACTTGGAAAATGATTCATTAGCCTTTGATCTATGTTTAACTTCTCTAGAGCTATATTAGCTGTTCGTGAACATGGTATACCTAAGAGAGAGTTTCATTTGTCTGATTAATTAGAATTATCAAGATTAGCCTTAAAGAATGCATAATAGCCAATGCAAAACCTAATGAAAGGAGTTACATCTAGGTACAAATGTTAAATTGCCTCGGATGTTCTAATAAAAAAGTATAAAATATGCTCTGTTGGCAAACAATGCAAGTCAGAATAACATTAAAGCAACCTGTCTTTTCCAAATGAAAAGACACCCTGCACTGTACATCTCTCCAGTATACAACACATTTTTACTAAAGCTTTATTAAATGAATTGCAATAGCAACGGCTGCCATTTTATAGCTATATATACATGTATATATATATACACATACCTGTGTGTATATATGTATATATATATATGTATGATACTGATTTATTTAACACAACAGAGGCTTCTGCCGTATGATACAGTTTACTGTACATAAGAAAAACTTTTAACACTGTACAATCACATAAAGGTCATATGCACTGTTGCAGTGCAAAAGTAGATTTAACTGTAGTCTTTACTGGCATAGTAATGGCTTTTTGTAATCCTACAAAATTGCATTCTTATATTATGGGGCCTGAATGGTCTTTTAATTTTGCTTGGTTTTGTTGGGTTTTTTACTTCCTTTTTTTCCCTTTTTTTTTCTTTTGCTCTTTTTTTTTTTAGATTTTTCCATTTTTTTAAACTGCAGGGTTTGCCTTTGGTCCACACTTAAAAGGACACATAGCAGTGGAGCGCTGACTGGATGCAGCAGAGTACATGAAAAGGACTTAGGTTATTGCAATTATAGTAAAAAAAGGCAGTGGGGGGAGGAGGAGCAAATGCCCTTCTGTAAAGTAATCCTCAGGGGTTTTCTATGCATGAATTGCTGCACATTTCCTATATTTAAAGTATATGAAAAGCTTGAAGTAACCAAAACCTAATGTGCTGATAAACCAAAGAATAAGTTATTCAAGTAGTAAAGAGAGTAAGGGGAGACAGAAGATACCAGACTGAGAGAGCAGAGAAGAAGAGGAGGAAGAGTTGCTACTAATAATTCTGATTCTTAAATAAAATTTAAAAAAAAAAAACCCAAACCAAAACCCCAAACAGAAAATAACACCCAAATAAAAAAAAACCCAAAACCAACACACAACCAACCAAACCATAACCCTCAAAACCAAAGAGTAAGGAAAAGAAAAAAGGTTACATCCATGTTAGTCCCACAATATTACAGCTGCTCCTTGCAAAGGGAGTCCTAAATAAGAAACAGTGAAGAAACTTGTTCTGATGCTCAGATGGAGGTGCCTCGGTCTGGGTCACTACCAATATTCAGCCCCAGAGTAGGAGTTGGTTGGTAAGGGATAGATGACATTGTTTTGATGGGGCTCCTGAAAAAGCCCCCATTGGGTGCTCTGTGCCTGAAAGGGCCAGTTCGGTGCTCGGGCACACTGCCGAAGGAGAAACCTGAAGCAGCTTTAGCAGACAGCGTGCGGCTCAGAGTCTGGATCTGTTCTGGTATGAAGGTGGTTGTGGTGATGTGAGTGTTTCTGAAGTCACTGATTTGTTCCAGTGCTTGACGTGTGGGTAAAGTGTCAATGTCCAGTGGGGTCAAGTCAATTGACGAGGTGGAGAACTGTTTATGGGGACTGTCGTCATCTGTGCAGAGGCTGTTCACACGCCTGTGGAGGTGCTCCAGGTCTATCTCCTTGTCGTCCTGGGGAACGAGAAAAACAAGAGGCACCACTCACCACTGCCGTTCGTGCTGGGTTGAAGTTTCACGCTGTGATCAGAACTGCTCGGGAAGCACAACGCACAGTTAACTAGGGCTGGCTGTGGGCTGACGACATCTCTGAATGTCACCAGCAAGCACCCCCACTGCCTGAAGCCAAACCAGTGTAGACCCTTACACCACAGCTACCTTCAAACCAGGAATCCAAACACCAAACTCAATGCAACACCAGTAGGATTTCAGGAAAAGCCAGGCTTGGAGCTAAGTAGGTTGGACAAGCAACCGTCCAAATGCCTGGAATGATGCCAGTTCTTCAACTCCACAATGAGAACTAAATTTGGATATCAACATGGGAGATTCTGAGGGATCAGATTGCCATCTTTGTCATCCTCTCAGGGCTTAAGGAAGGGCTAGAAACATCTCAGGTTCCTTTTTGCCTTTATAATGTAAATTGTGGTATAGAAAAGCTGAACTTCCAGAGGAAAAAAACCCAAGCACTGGTGACTCATTGACATTGCACAGAAAGGAGTACACCAGGCAATTTCAAATTACAATGGCAACAGAGGGATTAATTATCTCCTTACCTACAAAGAAGCAATTCCATCTATTCTGATGGAATTATGCTCCTGTGGGTGAGAAGAAGAGAAGGCGGCCTGCTGTATTTATTATATCATCGCTCCTCTTACGTCTGTGTCTTTTCCTTCTTAAATCTCTCCTCCCAGAGAACTCAATTAAACAGGTTTGTTTGTTATAATTGAGAATTTAAATGCACAGAAGTTAAAAAAGAGGAGACAGTCCTAGGTGACGCAATAAATCACCTGTATCGTACATATATATTGCTCCTGAACTGCAAAGTTTAATTTAAAGCAGCATTAAGTATACATGTACAGGGGTATTCCCTCAGCTCATTCAGAACAAAAATCAGTTTCAACTAACCTTAAAATTTACCTTAATCTCTGTGAAATTTACTGGCTCTTCCAGGCCACTAGAAACATCTCATACTCTAGGACCTCACAGAGGATAATTAGGCAGCCGAGAGATGTGCACTGATGACTTCCAGTCTTGATTACTGAAATTCAATGACTGGCTTGATCCAGAGCTCCCTGAATCAATGGCAAAACTCCTAGTATACCGAATGGGCTTGAGATCCCTCCTTTGTCTAGGAATGAAGTCAAGCATTCTGAAAAAGTCCACACCTAGAACAAACTGCAGGAGTTCATCTACTTAGCAAAACGGATCACTGAACATTTGCACTGGTACCATGCCAAACACAGAGCCCGACTGGAAGGAAACTGAGAGGCCAGCTCCCCTCCAGGATTTACCCTCCGAGGTCAGGGACAGGGAGACAAACCAGGGGAAGAGGGGCAGGGAATGGGGCATCAGGGATCTCCCAGGGACTGGATGATCACTGACCACAGAGGCTTTGGCTTGAGCTCATCATGGGAAGGAAAAAAGGCAGTGCTCATTTCTCAGACTTAGCTTTCTGTCTATAGTTTATTCACATGTGGACATAGACATGGATGCACATAACAACCACACAGGTGACATCAAATCCAAACGCATTCACCAAACGCTCTCTCCCAAAAAATTTGGAGCTGCATATGGATGCAGGAGAACTGGGACCACATCCGAACCTAAAGAAATACAGAGGCTCCATTAGCGTGTGCAAGTCATGACTATGTCTGAGGGATAGTCCTAAATATTTTTTTCCTGTTTTGTTCGTTTGTTTTTAATTTTGAAAAAAAAAACATACAAATGCTTCATAATTTAAAATGCCAATTGAGAAAATATTGGAATTTCATCACTTCTGAGCCTCTACAAACTATTCAAAATAGTCCTCTTTCTTTTACAGAGATGCATTTGGGGCTAGGGTCAGACCAGTGTAAAATATATGAGGTGATATTCTCCCATGCTTAGCCCACAACCCAATCTCCACCCAATCGATACACCAAAAGGAGACCCACTCACAGTAAGATTGTGCATATCTCCATAATATGATCTTTCCTCTTCTCTCTTGTGTGATCAGTAGTGAAATATTCAGCAGTTTTCACATTTAAATTATCATCAGGCTTCAGAGTCAACATCCCATTGAGATTACTGGGGCGGTTCATACTTCTCTCAGAGCTACCGTTTAGGGCTGTCTGCAGACTCAGGCAGACATCATTGAATGGGTTACTTCTGGTACGCGACCGAAATGTTATCTTCGCAACCATAAGACAATTTTTTTCAGTATAAATGCTTGCATTCTGGAGCACAAGATGGCAGCCACCAGGAAAAAGGGTTGGTTTGCTGACCACAAACTGGCCCAACTGACCCCCGATTCTGGACTAGTGGCCTGGAAGAGCCAATGGATTTCATGGAAGCTAAAATGAATTTTAAGACAGTTAGTTAAGATGCATTTCTTTGCTGAATGACTCTTACATCCAGGATAATGGGGACATTCAGCACATAGGTCCACGTTAAACTCAGTTTTGAGCCAAGCTTTTCAATTTAGCATTGAGATGCAATTTTAAATGCTAAGCTAATGACCATATAAAAAGATCAAGGAGGCCAAATTATACCATTTGCGGAAAGTAGACATTTCAATTTCTTGGCACTTGAAAGTTGAAATAGAACATTTTATACTTGTGGTATTTTTTCCTTTTCATTTGTTCTTGATTTTCATGTTTAGCACCAGATAAAGATGAAGCATAAAGTTCTGAAAATTTGGGTAAACAACAATCAAGTAAATTTTAGTTTTTTAAAATAATTTACCAGTTGAAACTATAGGGTTTCCATCCCTGAGAAACCCAGCTTAAAGACTAGAAATTCCTTCTTTTTTTTTTTTTTCCTTTTAATTATGGTCTGGTCCAGAACTTGAACAAAAAAAAAAAAAAAGCTTGGGAATTAAAACAGGCAAGAAAAGATTAAACGTATTCTAACATCAGTGCCAATGCTGTCTAATTAGGTAGTGTAATTAATCCTGCCTGATTACACAGCATTAGATTAGCAGGAATAAATACGATGGAGAAACTGCAGAGGAGGTGAGACCACTGCACACAAATTAACAGCAATACCCCACAAGCTACACAAATGTGTCTAAGCTACACAGACAGAAAAGCACATTTGATAGTGCTACATTAAGGCTCATATATCGGTTCAGCTTTGGGTGTTGCTGCCAAGTACATTATAAAAACTTATTTTGTTCCCAATTTTTTTTTAGCATTTTGTAGAGGTAGATATTTAATTATGAAGGTAAGTAATTTGCTGTAAAATTGCACAAGGCTCAGATGGCTGGTAAAGGGACAGGTAGATTACCACAGGAAGGAAAGCATTACACATGCAGGTGTAGAAGCAAACTCATCTCTGGTGTAAATCTCCCCATGGCCTCTGTCCAAAATTTTCTGAAACAAGTCTTTAGTAGATTTCAGAAATAAATCTGGCTTGAATCTGAAAAATCTAATGTAGTCTTGCTTCCTTGAACTTCAGATGAAATAACAAGAACTGAAGTTCATCGAAGCCTCAAGAGGTTAACATTTCTGAAAATGGGGAAAAGACTATTTAAGAAATTAACTACTGATTAAAGGGGTAAACTTTGCAAATGTATTTTGAAAGACCCAGCCACTGAGCTTAGGGATATATTTTTCAAGAAGAAGCCAAGAAACCTGGTGAGAATAAGCTGTCACCAATGAGAATAATGAAATAATATTGATGTATTAATAATGTACTACTCTACAAGTAAGAGTGGCGCGTTACTCAGAATAGTTGCATATTTATACATCACCAATATACATTTTTTTTTTATTTCAAGCTTTTCTAGAAAGAATAGCTAAAAAAATGTCAAGGAACATCATTTACCTTAAAAAATCAGGAAGCTAATATCTCTGAATTCGATTCCCCACCCTCTCTAGGGCTATAAAGTCAAGGTAGCAATCTTTAGGGTGCATGAAAATTCCCCAGGAGAAATGGAGGGTCTAATACCTCTTTTGATGGAACCCGGGAGCCTTTCCTTTTATTCCACCACGTTTCCAACATTGCAATGAAACAGGATAGGACAATCCCTGCAGCGAGGATGCAGAAAACACCTGCAAAACTTTTTATGTCCAGGGCACCTCCTTTCTGTTTGGTATCCACAGATGAGTAAAGGTCACACTGACCATTCTTCGGCCACCACTTATGCTTCAGTACATCCATGTCGCCGTTCTGCTGCAGCTCCAAAATCCTGGAGGAGAAAGCACAGTCAGGGGTTACAGTGGGGCAGTGGCATCTGAGGGTATGAGGATGTCATCTGACTACTTGCAACCTTCCCACGTGTCTTGGAAAGCCAAGCAGCTGATGAGCTGACACAGACTGATTTAGCCAGGAAAGAAAGCTTCAATATGGGGCTGCCTGTTAGACTGAGCATATGGATATCTACGTTCCATTCCAGATACAGAAAATCACACACAAGTCTATCTTTCCTTCTTGTAACAACCTTAATGAAAATGCTTTACTTTATATACCATATTTTCTTAACTGGCTTTCACTACAGACTATGTCAATTGATTTTGTAGTGCATTAGATATTTGACAATATTTTGCATTTTAATCACTGGAAAAGAGGCATTCCAATTTTTAAAAAAAACCAAAACCAAATAAAAATACAGTTCAGATGTACCACAGAAAAAAACCAAAACCATATAAAAATACAGTTCAGATGTACCACAGGTTACATGTGACCTTATTGTAAACCAATCTTTATCAGGGTACCTACTTGCTGTTTTGGAGACAGACCAAAGCTACCTTACTTGCAGTCAGTGATAACTTAAACTAGTGTCTCTTAATGTGAGAATGTGACCTGATATTAAGTGCTTCCATAGGGAGGTGCCTTGCTGTGGAATTCACTCGTCCTTGGACCTACATACCCAGCCCACAGCCAAAGATTTACTGAGCAGCTTGCAAGGACAGTGTTTTTAGCTAGATTTCCTGTGGGACGAACAGTTTGAGGAATGAGAACTGGAAAAAGATTTTTCATATTTAGTTCATTTATTCCTGAGGAGAGTGTTTTTTAAAAACATCGAGAAATGACTAGAGTAGCAGCTGGGTGCCTCTGGTTATCCAAAATAAAAAATTCAATTATTACTCTTACAAAAATAAACCAGGGAGAATGTTTTCCTTCATGTAATAATTTGTTTTTCATTTCAGTGTTGGAAGGCAAATTACTTGTGCAATCATTTGACACAGCATGGAAAAAAAATCCAAGCACACACAAACAAGCAGAGGTCTGGGATGTCGCATGGAAAAAAAATCCAAGTGCACACAAACAAGCAGAGGTCTGGGATGTTGCTACCACAGACTGTACTGCCCTGGAGTGGGAAGAGATGTCCCCCTGTCTCAGGGCTGCTATAACAGCTCAAGGCAGTGGTCTACATCAGCCTCGAAAGGGAGTTTGAATGCACTTTGGAAGCACAGGGCAATGGCTCTATATAGAGACTCATCAGTCTCTGATGCTGCTTGAACAGATAGTTGTGTCAATGAAGCCACTGAACTAGCTATGGCACATCCAACTGACCATATATTTATGCTGTGGACCTGCCAGGAATAGGAGACCATGCAGCCACGAGTGGCTGAAATCCCAGCACAGCTCTGGAGTGAGCTTCCACTTCCTACCTGGTAGTACGCCTGGTGGCTGAAATCATGACCTGTTAAGGGGGGAACTGCTTGTTCACCTCTGTGCTACACCAAAGGGAACAGTACCCTTGAGGCACAGACCACAGGCAATATGCATGACCCTGGGGAGGTGCCACAATCACCTTGTTTGCATAGCTTTGTGTTTATAAGTGGACCAAATTCTGCGCGGTGCCTGCTGACATTACATTGCTGAAGGTCCAGCCCTGGAGAATGGCAAACAAAGTAAGAGTTGCCCAGGCTATAGTTTGAATTCTCTCAAACCCATTGCCAACCTAGGGAAGCCTCATCCTGAAGCTTCCTTGGGGAGCAGGGATATGTCAAGGATGGGATGATGCTTTGTTCTGATGCAAGAGACAGAATAGCTATCGTGAAACATCCACATTCAGAGAGGTGTGGAAGGCATGGGGACCATACACAGGATTGCTGTTATTGCTGCCTGTTGGGAGTGTGTAGAGAAGCTGCAGCTAGACCCAGTGACAGGAAGAGATGCAACTTGAACAAAATAGAAGATAAGCAATTCCAACTAGGTAAGAGGAGAACGGGAGAAGTCAAACACTGGAACAGAGAATTTACAGCCTCATCACGCTTAGTGATATTCAAAGACCCAGAGAAAACTAAGTGGACTTGCTTTGAGCAGAGGGCTGGACTGGAGACCTCCAGAGGTCTTTCCCCACCATGATTACTCCTCAGCAGCTGCAAACAGTCAATACACTACCTTCCACCATGGTAATCCTTGCAGAAACAACTCACCATAACTCTGGGTATTGCGGCCCTAGAGTCCTGTACTAGGACTCACGTGAGTATTTTGGCCCAAATTTGGTTAGCAGGAGCACATAGCATAAACAGAACCCTTTTGTATAAGTTCTTGTGGAGTAATAGGTTAATTTTCAATGCCTAATCCAAACCTACATGGTTTTATATTTAGGATTTACTGTAATATCTATGCAAGGCAGAAACAGAAAAAACATTGTGGGGCTTATTTCTTCCAGCAGCAGCTCTAATCCCTGAGCAGGACTATTTTCTCTCTTATTCAGGCAGGAATAGAACGAACCATCCAAATGATTGCTCTATTCTCATTAATTAAATGATTCTTCACTTGTCAGTACAATTCCTGATTACACAAGACATCTTTTTAATAGGCATTTGCATAAAAACACTGAGTTTTGGCTTGTTCCTTAATGAAGATTTATCCCTAATTGTACTCCTGGTAATTACTGGCAATTTTCTTTATGGATGTAACATATAAGTTCAATTATTTAAAGGAAAACATAAAAAAAGAGGCAGAAACCAGGGATAGTAATGGTGTCGTTACATGGAAAAGCTTGAGAAGTCGAGTCTTGTAGAACTGAACACTGCAAACAGATGTTGAGGGATAAAATATATACCAAGAGAAATGATACGAGCACAAATATCTAATTATATTAACGTTGTGCAGAGAAAACAGGGAGATCCCAATTCTGTTACACTTGGCAAACACTTTGTTTTGGAATTCACTCATTTGTGGAACCAAAATAATAGTTAACATATTAAGGAAGACTTAACATTACCAGCCTATTCCTAGTTATGAAACCTCCTATTCTGCTAGCTTATTTCCAGAAATGAAAATTGGACTTTTATGGAAAACCAGGAGGAAATGAAGTTCCCAGCACACGAGCAGGGCTGGCCAGGCATGCTGCATGAGCCTCCCACACGATGGCACTCCTTCCATAAAAATACCTGGCCCCTGTACACTCTAATCAGATGGACCTGTTGGGTGGCAGACACTACAATCAGTTTGAGATTGGATTTTCAGATTTAATAAATTACTAAATTAACTAAATGCTCTGAATGATAATGATGTCCTAATGCCGTAATTCTGCCTCTCCTTCTAAGTCCCAGATTTTTACAACTGAATTTCTTCCTCAAGAGCCTTGGCTCCTTTAAGCCTGCTGTATTGGCACAGATTAGTGTTGCAACACATAAGTTAGCAGTAAGAGTGGTGGAAAGTAATGCTTAGGGTGCATGAGTTCCCGTTGTTTTGAAATACCAGGCTTAGAAAGCTTACAAAAAACCCTACATATTGAAATAATCTGATTTGTCAAAAAAAAGTGACCTTCAAAACTTGCTTATGAATAGAGTGCAGGTCTTTTTCTCTAGCAGGTGAACTGTTAGAGTAAGTTTTTTCAAGGCAATGATATAAATTTACTAAGCTGCACAAAAGAAAATGTGTACACTTTAACCGATTTGGCTCTGAATTCACAGTGCCAACTGATGTCTAGTGGATATAAACACAAAAAATTGAACTGCCTGTGGATTCCAAATCTAACAGTGACGTGAACAAATGCTACTGAATCAGTGGAAATAGGGCTGGATTCTACTTGGTAACTACACACTTTGCTGCTGGCAGTGAAATGTAATTAGTCTTCCAAAATATCCACAGATAAAAAATCCCAACTTAATATGATAGCAAGGTGTCATAAATGCCACAAAATTGAGACCTCTGTGACAACACTAATTTTATTCTGAGGTATCAGTAGCGAGCAAGAGATACGACAGGCAGTTTACAATGAGATTGAAAATACCAACCTATGTTCTGGGATGTCAAAGGTTACTGAATATCAGCTTCCTACACTGGGAACATGTTATCCAGGGGGTAACTTCCCCATTAGCACTGATGAGGAAGAGGAGATGATGAGGTGCTACTCTGGCTCTGCAGATCAGGCTGCTGCATAGAGCAGTGTAGTGAATGCCCACGGTTCAAATGGGGAGAAAAAGGGAAAGAAATTTTTTTTAAAAGGAAAAAAAGCAGCAGCTATTTGTGTACCATGGTGGGCTGTGTCTCGGGGACTGAAGTCAAGGTCCCAGCATTTGTGCTGGCTCACAGGGCTCCTGGGTAGCTCAGGTGGGTTGTATTTGGGAACACTCAGTGTTTGCAGATGGGGCCAGGCAGTTACAAGACATCTAGTAATTTCTCCAGTGGCTAGCCAACAGTCAGATTTCTCAGGCAAAACTTACTCACTGGAGCTTTTCTAATAAAAATATGGTCCTGAGTCTTTGCAGAATTAGGTTCTCCTCTTCAAACAAGATATAAAACTAAGCTGATTTATAATCATCCTTCAGTTATCAAAGTAGACAGGTAGGAACCCATATGGGTTTTGTAAATTTTTTTTAATTTCAGGGAAGCAACTGCCTTTTCTATGCACTGCAGTAACTGGAGTGGTGTGAACTCCTGTTGCATCTCCATGAGCAAGCTTTAGGTTTTGGCAAAGCAGGGATCTCTCTCAGCAAGAGTAACTTTCACCATTACCACCTGGAAGGGTAGCTCAGGGCTCTGGTGCCGGATCGGGACGGCTGCTGCCCAGCCTGGCTTGCTGCCTCCTGCCTAGGAAAGAGGCAGTCCTAGGCATGGGGAAGGAAACAGGAAAAAAGAATGGAGACAGGCAAGTCTTGGGGTCCTTTTTTCCTCCTCCCCCACCAGTGGCACCTCATTGTCTCACTGAGACCTCATAAGTTTTCATATTTTGTCCTTATCCTTGAGGCCTTGCAGGATATGCTCAAAAGCCTTGAC